TTGGCTGTCAGCTGATTCCCTGGGTTGGTGGCTGCGGCAGCCGTGGCGATGGACTTTCTCCTGGGGAACCCGTTCAGCTCTCCGGTGGGACAGCGCATCGGTGAGTCCCCGGGGCCCCGCACAGCCCCACCTCAGTGCGCCGCACCCGGCCACGGTCTCCAGGGGCGCCTCCACGTCCCGAGTCTGAGACCGAGGAAGGCGGGGAGGCCAACGAGGCTGGCGTGCTTCTCCCCGTGCTGGCCCCGCCCACGCCCCGCCCACCTTTGGTTGACAAGAGCGTGAGCCATTAGGGAGCCTTGGCTTGTGATGGGTGCGTATGGCAGCCAATAAGTAAAGAGAGAGGGCGGGTCCGGGCGGGTCTAGTTCAGCCTGCGCATATCTGCTGGGGTCCGGAATCCGGGGAGAAAGTTTTCGGGGTTAAAGGGACTACGTGGTTGTGCGGTCGTTGGGCCGCTCGACTGTTTCCTACGCGACTTCCCCAGCCCGGGTGCAGCCTCCCGGGCTCCTGACGGCTCCTTCTTGGCTTCCAGCGCTCTCCGGGCACGGTTACCGGAGAAGGCTACAGGTCCCTTCTCCCAGGACCCGGAGGGCTAGGGCTTGGTGTGTGTGTGTGTGGTGGGGGGGGACCTGCGGAAGGGAGACCAGGCGCCCCACCTTCCCCGGACCCGGAGAGCCCAGAGACCCGCCGGAGCAGTAGGCCAGGACTGACAGCCCCGGATCTCTGAGCATGTCTGCCATGGCCCCTTCCACGACTCAGCATCAGGTGGACCCTCTCGGACTCGCAGAAGCTCTGAGCCGACGGTGATCTTAGAAAGCGCCCTGGCCAGCTGCCCGCATCCATTAGGGTCGGTCTCCGTAGACCGGAGCCGGGCTGCTGGCCCAGCCTTCTGGCCGTTTGTCGGTGTTTCTTTGCGCCCTCTTGGCAGGAGGCGTCCAGTTTTGTGACGCATCCTCCCAGCCTCAAGGTCTCCTCACCTGCACTCGGCATAGTAATAGTCCCTACCGCGTGAGCTTGTTGCAGAAATTAAGTTCGTTAATAAATGTGAAGTACTGAGAACAGTACCTGGCACATGACCAGGGCCGTATAAAAAAAAAAAAAAAAAAGTTCTATTCAGTATCTTTCTTACCGAGACACCACCGGTGAGGGTCAGAATCCCTGGAAATCGTTGGGTGCTTGCTGGTCTTTAGGAGCCCCAGCGCACGTAGACCCACAGGGACAGTCTGGGTGTGCCCCCGTATCGCACGAAGGAACGAAGGAACTGCGTCAGCTCTGCGAGAGTATCTCAACCTTTGATGACTTTTTGCCTTAAGTCCTTACTGGGAAAACTGGATCTTTAAAGAAAACATTCTTTCCATCCTTACTGTGTCGGAAGCCACACCCCTCTAAAGGCTGTCCACCCAGCCCTGACACTGTGTTGTAATCCCTGCAGGCTGTTTATGGCTCTTTGGCGGTTTTGTAATCAATTCTTCCGAGGAGGAGGTGGCAGACCAGTATTTACACACCAGGAAACTCTGGGACCAGGAGAGGAACTGCCCTCTGGCAGGAGCAGCCTTCAGCAGCACACAGTGTGGCCCTCAGCGCAGGGAGTCACGGTTTGGGACTGAAGGGAGAAAGCAGCTCGGCACTCGTCTTTATTTCTTTGATTATAGTTACCACGGCTTTTATCACATGCCAAGTTTGAGGTTTCCTGCTTAATAATAAATAAATTAAAAATAAATTAAAAATCTGGCCTGCATATTCCCGAGGCTTTGTGGAGAAGCTCACATGGGCTGTGGGTTGTAGCTGGTGAAAGAAACTTTGGCTCCACTTCTTACCCTGAGGGGTTGCCTTTATTAGGCAAAAAATACTGCTGTCCCAAGAGAAGGGTACAGTCCTTAAACCTCAGAGGACAAACTAGACTTTACTGCTGACTAGTCCTTACCTTGGGGATCTTCTTTTTTTTTTGGAGAGGTTTTCGCTTTAGGGCGCGTGCGCTCACCAGACAGAGACATAGAGACAGAAAGCGAGAAATCACCCCCCAGGGGGGATGGCCACACCGCAATCCCTTCTCCTCCATTCTCCTCTCGGGATCTTGGGCACGCACGCACACGCGCCCGGCGTGAGTTTTAAGCCACCGGGTCCGGGACATGAACCGCGGTCGACTACGTGGGAGTCCAGCAACACAGCCATTATGCTAACTGCTGGTTCCCCCTTGGGGAATCTTCTAACCCAGGGGTTCAGATCAGGACCCCCGAGGAGGGCTTGCTGTGCAAGAGCAACTGGCTGGGGTCCTCCCCTGGAGTTTCTGACTCTCTAGGTCTGGGGGGCCCCTAACATTTGCATTTCTAGCAATGCCCAGGTGATACTGATGCAGCTGGCTTGGAGACCACAGACGGAGCCTCTGTTCTAGCCCAGCCCCTTTCATTTTACACGGGAGCAGATGGAGGCCCAGCGAGGGGAAGGGGGAGAACAGCTCACCCAAGACCCCAGGAACGGACAGCAGAGCTGAGGCGTACCATCCCAAGCCACTGAAATTCGAGCCAAAGCAGAAGAGGCTCTGAAAGTAGAATTAAATGAAGCATGTCTGCCGTCTGAATTAGTGCCCTCAGTATCCCTTCTTACTTGGGATAGAAAGGCAGAAGTGCTGCAGTTGGCTAGATTAGTAAGGACGCGCTGGTAACATTACCTGCTCGCATCTGTGTAAACCAGGCCCCTCTTCGCTGCAGGCACAGTGTAATTTCTTCTCAAGCCTGCCAAGTCCCCAGCCCTTGTTTGAGAGTAGAGCCCTGTAATTGCATCCTGAGGACAGCGGGTTCTAATGGTGCTAATTGGGGGTGTGTGTCACTCGACTCTGCAAGTTCTCATCACGCGCACACACACACGTGCACACACGCGCTCGCGCATGTGCACACCTTCTTTCCTCTGTCTGGACCTTTACCCCTCTGGAATGTCTGCCCCTCTGACCCCGCAGAAAAGCCCAGAGATGAGCTCATCCTTCAAAGCACAGGGCATTATCACCTCCCCGCTGAGGCCTCTCCTGACTGCTTCAGGTTCAGCCATTGCTTTTTTGCTCTCCCATCGTCCTAGCTACTCAGACTCATTCATGGCATGTCTGAGCTCAGAGCCTCAGCATCCTCCTCAGTAGAATGTTGACGCAAACAACAGCCACCTCACAGGGAGCTTATGAGAACAAAGCGAGCTAGTCCCCAGAGAGTGCCTGGCACGGGGCGAGTGTGCAGTAAACATTTGTCATGCCATTATCAGCATCAGCATCTTTATCGTTTCCGCCATCATCTCAGTAATAGATGTGCATGTCTATACTCCAGCTAGACTGGACTTCTTGAGTTTTAAAGTTTCTGCCACAGGGCATGTGTGCTTGCTGGAGGTGAGAGAAACTGAGAGGGAAAGTTAGAAATCATCCCCCCAGGAGGGATGGCCATGCCATCTCTATTCTCCTCTCAGGATTTTGGGTACACATGTACATGTGCCTGACGTGATTTTTAAGCCACCAGGTCCAGGGCTCGAACTGCAGTTAGCCATGGGGGATTCCAGCATCTGCACCACCACACTGGCCCCTTGCAAGTGTACCTTGTTTATCCTTACCTGCAGCAGCTAGCACGGCACAGGCACACAGGAGGGAAGAGGGAGAAAAGGAAAAGGACCTTTAGCGGCAGACCGCACACCCAATATTAGACCACTGTCCTGGGTATTCATCTTCACAGTGGCCCTCTAGGGTTTTGCAATTTTTTTTTTTTCATTTTACCAAAAGTGAGTCTGGAACAAGTATCACTCACTCGCATTTCCCAGCTGCTCAGGACAAGAGCCCAAAGCCAGGGCTTCCCCTGCACCCTTAACCACGCTTCCTAGAGCTGCTCAGTGCTCGCCGTAAGTTTCTGTTAGAGTTTCTATTAGTCCAACCTCCACGAGTCACAGTGAGAGAGCTGTGTACCAGTTAGGACATGCGGATGAGCCCTCACACACTGCCAGGTCCCTCACCCTCGTCGACGACCAGGAGAGGATCTCAGCTCCTTGGTACTAGGCAGGATCGACACAGGCCTCTTTCACTCTGGGCATGCTGGAGGATGCGCCAGCCCTGGGCCCACAGTGTCAGAATCTCTACCCTTACCTTAGTGTGCCCCACTTTAGCCAGACTTGAAGTGTCGGTTTGCTGATGTGTAAGTGCAGGAGACGTGAGAGCCCAAGTCTACCCTGAGGATGACAGGGATGAGGTCTGGAAAGGGCTTTGCGTCAGCCGTTCATGTAGTAGTAAGGCCCAGGGGGAGCTTGATCGGACCAAGTGTTCTTCACCGGCTTAGTTGCTTGGAGCAAGTTACTTAATCTCCCTGTTACTCCATTTCCTCATCTGTAAAATAAGGGTAATCACAGCACCCATCAGATGCGGTTGTTGGGTCGTTCTGTTGGGAAGCACGTGGCGCGTCTCTGCCAGCCAGGAAGTCTCCCTAATTATTGTTAGCTGTTGTGATTTTCCTTTTTTCGCTTTCCTGTCTCTGGGCACTGCCCGAGAGCTGCAGTGCCAACCCGGGGTCAGACGCCAGCGCCGCCCTTCTGTGGTCTTTGGTGCTGGGAGTGAGCAGTCACAGGCTGGGCCGCATAGCCGCTGACACGGGCGGGTCAGGTTTCAGGCTGTGGGTGGAGCCCATTCTCACTTGGGATTAGGCCTTTGCCTGACGGTTTGGATGGAACTAGTGAATAGGTCTTGTTCCCTCACTGAGCTGAAAGAATAAGAGTAAAGCCCTGATTTCCGCTCTTCTGGTTTTAGGGAAGAAAACAAAAACTTTAGTGTCTTCTCAGTAGCTTGGACTCAGGACACGTTAACTCTGTACCTTCTGACCAGGGAGGGCACAATCTAGACCAGTACTCTGCAAACGGTCCTCTACCTGCTGCCTTCACGTTCTGCGTCTACACTCTACCACCTCATCATGGTTATTATTTTTTAGGTTTTCACCATAGGGCACGTGTGCTCACTGGAGAGAGAGAAAGCAGGAAAGCAAGAAATCATCCCCAGGGGAATGTCCACACCACCACCCCCTCTCCTTCATTCTCCTCTTGGGATTGGTCTCACACACACATGCACACACACCTGGTGGGTTTCCCAAGCT